TGCTTAACGAGCCGAACACGAGCTGTTCACGAACAAAAAGTATTTTTAACAACCCTAACAATGTAGTCATAAGATAATAAGAGTTTGAGCAAGATTTAAAAATTATTATTTATATTAAAACATCATTTGAATCTAATTTAATAATTTTTATTCTATTTTCTTAATTAATATTTTAATTTATTATAAGTTTTTGTAGCCTTGTAGTCAATTAGATTTTTTTAAAATACTACTTAAAATATATATATACTTGATGAGTAGTATTTCCAGCCAAAACGAGTCGATCACGAATGAACACATCTTAGTTCATGTTCGGCTCGTTAACTCATCCCACGAAATTAACGAGTCGAACACGAGCTTCTTAATGAATCGAACACTAGCTATTCACGAACAACGAGCCGTTTTGGCAGCCCTAGCTCCAAGGTGGTGATTATCTCTGTCTTAATCACCTCTGTGTCCCGCTTCTCCTCCCCTACTCGCCGCCATCCAGCCGACACACCCTCCTCTACCTGTACTTCTACCTACCTAGTTCTAGCCCCCAACTACTAGATCATGTTCAGTTGTTGCTGCCGACTTTACCAGATGCCCAACTTACTACTGTAAGTCTTCTCCACTGTCACTATCTTACTCGGGGCTTGAAATTAACCAAGACAAGAATGAACGATCGTTATGTTATTCTATTTATATCACTAACAATTTAATATTAAAAAGAATCCATGAAAGTGCTACCGAAAAAAGTAATTAAATTAACAAGTAGAAATATATACATTTCTTATTGTTTTTCTTGTCTTTAATACACATTATTTTTTCTTTTATTCATCTTAATCAAAAGCTTAAGCCTGAAAAAAAATGTTAAATTGTTAGAAACGGTAAAGCCCGGGCCCCCAATGTTTACTTTGCTTTGTAGTGTCACAACTCTTCACAAAATAACTACTCTCCCTTCCTCTTTTGTGAAGTGAAACATCTTTTCGCTCCCTCTTGTTCGTGATAAAAGCTTATGATGGCTCTCCTTGAGTTTAGAAGTCACAGTTTCCTCGGGGTAAAGGAAGGTTTCCTCAGGGTAGAGGAAGAGAAGTGCAAGGAGGAGCAATTCCTTGCGGTAGAAAGAAAAAGGAAGAAAAAGAAGATTGTTCTTCCTAGGCTTCTTCTCGGTGGCTTGTGGCAAAAGAGAAATTGGGTTTATTTCTCTTGTAAGTTTTTTTCTTTTGTGTATCTCGGTGTAAAGTTTTCTTCAGTGTATCAAGGTATAGAGAGAAGAACATAGAGAGTGGAAGAGAGAGAGCAACGAAAGAGTGAGAGATACCTCTTGTAAGTCGATGTGATAAACTGGTGTAAATTCCTCAAGTAGTAAATTCATTTGCAACTCCGCGGACGTAGGCAATTTGTCAAACCACGTAAATCTGTGTGTTTCGCTGTGTTGTTTTTTTTCTGATGTGATTTTTCTCGTTCAATTTTTCACTTCGTCGATTGTTCTCCTGTTTGATTTATATATATACCAAATCAACTGGTATATCTAGATCTCGTCACAACAACAACAAATATCATGGTGAGGTTTCGGATCTGAGGAAGAATGATGACTACAGATGAAGTGAAGGTTTCAGAGATCGAAAAAATTTGATGACACAGATTTTGGTTATTGGAGAATGCAGATAGATGATTATCTTTATGGGAAGAAACTTCATCTTCCGTTATTGAGGAAAAGACCTGAAAGGATGGATGAGGTTGAATGGATTTTGCTGAATCGACAAGTTCTGGGGGATATTTGATTGATCCTATCGAGGTACAATACACTCATCATCGTCAAGGAATGAACGACTGCAGATCTCATGACAGCCTTACCAGGTATGTATGAAAAGTCATCAGCGAATAATAAGGTGCACTTGATGAAGAAGTTATTCAATTTGAAGATGACGAAAGGTGTTTCTATTACTCAACACCTGAATATTTTCAATACTATCACAAATTAATTGTCGTTTGTGGAAATTGATTTTGATGATGATATATGTGTACTGATCTTGTTGGCTTCATTGTCAGATAGTTGAGAAGTCATGAGGATAACAATTAGCAGTTCTGCAAGTAAATCTAAACAGAAATACAATGATATTCGTGATTTGATTTTGGCTGAGGAAGTTCGTAGGAAAGATTCTGGAAAGATCTCAGGTTTGAAATTATTAAGACAATAACATTTAAGATCATATATCAGGCTAACCGTATGAAGAATTCTATATGACTTAATTTCATTGTGCAACTATTTAACATGCATATTTCCCTTTCTGACAATATTATTTCAGTAAATAACCCACTATGGGCTTCTAATCCTGACATTCTCAAGCTCAGTCAATTGGAACCGAAGAGGTGAGTCGATCAGTGTTGCTGGTTGGCCTTCTGGATGGGGGTCGTCAGTCCACTGACCCTCTAGATATCAACTATCGTGGTGATCCTTGGAGATAGTTGGAGAGATGAGTT